TGGGTTGGCCTAGAGCCACGCATCAAGGTACAGCTCACTCTTTGTGCATGCACTTTGACAGAGCCAAGGGTTATTGTGCCAGATGTGTGACCAGGAATGGATCCAACAGCTGGACAGAGAGAGAAGGTGTTCTGCTGCCAGTGCTGTGGTACATCCTGGTGACTCAAGGGCTGCAGACTGCCTTGGACTTTCTCTCCAGAGAGCAGAACTGTGCCTAAAACTACTGTGGTGCCAAAAGATGGGATCTCCTTGTACTGGAAAAACTCATTCAGCAAGGAGCATATAGATCTAAACGGAAAAAACTCTGGAAGTTTTCTAATTTCTCTTTAATATATCAATAATACATAATGACAGAACTCCTAAACAGTTATTTGAGGCCTCCCCCCTAATTTCAGTGTGAGTCCATACCTGAGTGGCTGACAGAAGCTGTACCAGATACCCACTCATGCCTTTCACATGGACTGTGAGAGAGGGGAAATTGCTACAAAGCCCCCTAGTGGGATTAAGGTCATATATTCCCCTTAAAGCCTTGTGGTTTCATCCTTAGATTTTGCCATGCTTTAGTTGCCAACACAACTAAACAGTTCAGCTTTTTGAAGTTGTGGCAGCCTCTGCTCCTACTGCTTCTGTTGAAAAAGGCATGAAGTCAGTAATTTGGATTCCATACTCTTGTGTGAGAAGGCGACTGAACTGCTAATGGGGGGACACCGCCTCGCTTTCCACAGTGCACTCAGATTTACAAATAGCCTGCACCAGCTGGTGGGCTGCAGCTGAAATGATAGCTGGCATTAACACTGCTTGCACAGCTTATCTATGGGTCTACTTTGAGAGGATTTCATTATTTGGACTAGCATCAGGCTCTTAGTGTTCTGCACAGAAAAGGATTTCTTTCTCTCCATCAAGATTTCACAGGCTGATTTCAAGTTAAGGGATGCTGGTTACTGTTCCCTCACAGTTTCATTCCCCTCTCCGTGTGTTCACAGACACAAACCTCTCCCTGTGTATCTTTGTGGCAAATTTGCACACTTCAGAGCTCCTCACCTCCAGCCTGCCTAGGGCAAATTGGCAAAAAGAATAAAAGGCAAACAACAGCAACGAAGGTTGTTTTGCTACGATACAAAAGAAAAGTGAATCTCTTCCTGTTGGTAGCTAAGCCCTGCTGCTGCTGAGCAAGATGGAAGGGAAAACAAAGAGAAAGATGAAGGATAGAATGAAGATCCCAGGTAGGAGGCTGAGGGTCTGCAGAACGCCCTCTCCTCTGCCACTTGTAAACACTAAAACCATTTAAGAAGCAGTGCATTGTAATTTCTGTAACAGGGCAGCAAACCAAGTTTAGTGACACGGAACAAGTTGTCAATAGCCCACAGGACTTTAATTGGGTGAGAACATAACTCAGGAGGGAGGGAGGCTGAATTCTTTACATTAGCAAAAGATGTTATAGGCATGGGAGCTTTTGAGGAGGAAAAAACTTTTATTCCTTTTGTCTCTTTTATCATAAAAATCCACTAAACCACAAACTGCTCAGCTTTGCAATGAGAGTGCCTTTTGTGTCATTTATATTACCCTACTGTGTTCTTATTATTAAAAGTCTTATGCTTAAGAACAGCACTTGGAAAAACATGGTCTTAAGAGCTTGAAAACACTCCCTGCAATGCTTTCTTCCTTTACTCCCACCTCAGAATCCCAACCAACAAGTGAATTTTGTATTCAGGCTCCCCCCTCCACCCACCCAGTCACTTTTGTGAAATATTAATTCCTTCTCAGGTTCCAAAAAAAAAAAAAAAAAAGAAACCAAACAGACCAAAACCAAAAAAGTCAACCTACTGAAAACAGCTTGAGACACTTTAATCCCTCCAGGAATTGCTGTCCAAGACCCTTTGGGTGTCTGAAGAGCAGGAAAGTTACAGGGTGAGAGGTAGGAAAAGCTATTGCCCTTTATTATAAACGAATGATGAAGCTGAAAGACAGTCAAGGAAATCCTGTCAGGACATGCAGATCCACCTCAGTACACTGAAGTCTCTGGGAGGAGTGGGGACTATGGCAATCCTGACTCTTGTAGAAGAGGAGTTGCCTGAGCCTGTGTGCTGTTTGAGTTCACAGATTCCATGCACCTGAGCAGTGTAAATTACCACAAGCTCTAGACTAGAGCAGACATCAGAGCACTATCCTGCTACAAGCAATAATCAGCACCTCTTCTCTGCTTTTATATTTTTTTCTCATGCTAATTTAAATTATTGTCATCAGTGAAAAGTGCTGGACTATCTGAGCATCATGGGATAGCCCAAATCTGGGAGATCTACCCTAGCCCAAGAAACAGAGGGGGATGAAGAGCCAGAACTGGCAAGTGATGATCTCTACCCATTTAAAGATAAAAGTAATAACAGATTTCCAAGAGATTTCCAATAGCATCCTACAAAGTACTCCTAAACAGAACTGCTTCATTCAGTAAAACAGGGCAGTTCTCTGCTATTTCAGTTTGTGGAGTTTTGGTGCATGAAAGCTCCAGAGCTTTTGGAGACAGCTAAAGCTGAGGCTCTGGTCCAGTCACGGACCAGACATGGCCATCACTGAGGAGGATGTGATGGTTTGCACCAACAAGGCCTATGGAGAACTTCTAACAACATTCTTGGTGGGAATTCCAACCTAGAACACAGAAAACATCCAAAGCAAAGCCCTCAAGCAGTGTACTGTGTAGAGCTCTTGGCTCACCCGACCCTGAATCTGATAAATCCTCTGACTAAGCTGCCCTAAGGATGCCAAATTATCACCGTACCTGAGGCCACAGCAACTCCCCTGTGGCAGAAAGGAAGCCTGAAAAAGAGGCTCTATAGAGAACTATGTATTCTCCATGGGTTTTTTAGACTACAGATGGGGAAGTCAGATGCCTTCTGTGCCTCGAGATACTGAGGAACAGTGGGTCTTGCCATGGTCTCCTCAGAGGTCTGACAAAATTTCTAATCTGCCAGAAATGAATGCAAGCATATGAAAGTAAGAAGAGCTAACACAGATGCAATGAAAAAAGAATGGGCAAAGGATCAATGTCTTGGGGATCTCTCTTCTGATACTGTCCATCTCTCACTGAGAGTTTCATAACAAATGATTTTTAATTTCCCAGATGTACATTCATTTCCCCTGGGAGCATCTTTTCAGAGGCTCAGATAATACCAAGCTCCTGTGTATCTCTGGGTAATATTTTGCCCTTTTTAGAAAGGACTTTGGACATGCAGATCTGAAGTCAAAATTGCATGCAACTGATCAATGTTCATGGTCAAACATAATCAAATAAGACATTTCTCCTCTGATTAATTTCAAGTGCATTGTCAAAGGTGGTACAGATAATGTCAAATTCACATTGCAAGTCGAAGGAGGCAGCACAATGTCTCCATACTTTTCAGCTGTCTGGTTTGATGGGAGGGTAAGGATTGCCCCACTCTTGGCAGGGAGGAGCACATCTCACAAACCCAGAAAAAAAGGAGGTGGTTTTCCTCATGGTTCACCAATAGGGGACAGCCTTTTGCATATTTGTCAGATTAACATATTCTAGGATGGCATTTCCCAGGGGGAATAAAGTGTCTCAAGATGTTTTTCAAGCTCCTGTGCACTGTCTGAACAGATAGTTATGAAATTGCATTGCTAATGCTTGCAGTGGAGAGGCTTCCTATTCTCTGCTACAATGAAAACATTCAAGACATTGCTCCACGTACTCGCTGTCTCTAAAGGTAGAGAACAGCTTGCCGTGTCCTAAGTAGAATGCCACACAGTTAAATGATGGGGCAGCAACCAGAGAATATTTCATGTGAAGGAGGAGCCAAATTTCATTGTGAAAGCACATGCCAGCTCACCTCAGCCGAACTGGTTATGGCTCACTTTCCTTACAGCACATCAGCAATGTATCTGCTCTGTCTCTTCCAGAAATTTTCAAATCACCATCTCTGTCCCCCCCTCTCGGCTCATCTTCCCTGTTTCCTTCCTCCCTCTCTCCCTCAAATGCTGCTTCCCAGCCTTTTGCCAAGTATTGTAGTTCTGTACCAAGAAAAACAGTAACATTTTAGTCTCTCCAAAACCATCCCCTCTCCCCCTGCTGCTTTCCCCTTTCCCTCCATCCTACTGGTATTTACAAAGGGGTTGGGGTAAAGACTCTAAGGTGGTGATATTAAAATGTGTATACTTGGGCAGATAGGCTTCACACCTTTAATCTGTCCCAAACTCAGAAGCAAATAGGGTGATAAAGATATCCTTACCAGACCAAGGTACTCACAGGACAATTTCTCCTTCCCCATTCCTCCAGTAGTGTAGATCTGCCCAAATATCCTGTTTGCCATTCCTTGGTAACATGGCTCTTTCATTACAGCCATCAGTTTCTATTTCTAAGTCAGTTTGTTCTGTTTACAGGCTCTCCATGAATATAAAGGGACAAGGCTTAGTGCTTTAGTTTAGTACATATTTTTATGAAACCTGTATGTCAGTAACAGTTGTTGCTTTGACTGATTAGACAATGTCTAAATAAAATGATTAAATATGAATAACACAGGATATTTATTCAGACTTAATCTCCCTCTCTCAATCCTCAAGACATTATCTGTTGAGAGTTTCTAATGCAGAAAATGTTGGTCCTATCATCCAGATAGCAATATGAGCTATCCCATGTAAAATTTGATGGATATACTTCCTCCCAGTGAGGTGGGAGGTGGGCAGAAGTCAGGGTTTCCAAAGAGCAGGATTGAAACCCCATGCATCAGAGTTGTCAGCTAACTGCATATCAGATTTACTAACAAGCCTTGCCAGGGCAGGGATTTCTGATTTATCACTGTCTCACACTGGAAGGAATGCTTAAAATACATGACTATTTTAGGTAAGACCTGCAAATTAGTCTCCATCTTCTTGCATCTCTCAGATCTTTACAGTGAAAACACCTGCAGTGTCTGAGGGTGACAAAAACTGCCTGCTTCAGATCTGCAAATAGCAAATAGTAACATCCCATTCCATTAGTTTAAACCTACCTTAATTTAATAATAAAAAATGGTCTCTGTTTTGGACAATAAATATCCACATCCATAGGCGCCCATCGCACTTTTCAATGTAGTTCAGCACTCACCATTCTGTTTCTCAGGCAAAAATGTTTACAGATCTCTTTGCCTAAAGGCTCCTTACAGCAGGGTGGGAGCTGTTACCCAGAAAGCTCCTGGCCAGAGGTTTTGTCCCATCTGTAAAAAGCTGATTTCACAGCTCCTCACTGACGCTCCTTCCTCAGAAACTTGGGGCTGGCTGATGTGCATTTAGGGTTCTGCAGGCACTTGCTTCCTTCCAGCCCCCAGACACATCCATCAGAATATGCACTGGTAGAAACACAGGAAAGATGGTCCCAAAACACCCAAAATGCCTTTAAGTTATGTTCAAATTCTTTCCCTGGGGTATTAGCTGAGATTCAAGCTCTAAGTGCAGCACAAGTCTCCTGTTCCTTCTCATCGTGTTTCAGCAGCAGATCTTGGTGTTTGATCTCTTGTTGAGTGATTGAAGACAGAAACAGTGTGGTCACCCTCATGTTATTTAATGCTGTTTTTCCTCAGTTAAGCAATTAGCACAGTCGCTGAGCTGTTTTACAGCAGGTGTTACCACTCTGAATTGTTCTACAGCTGCGCAGCATCAAAGAGTCACAAAGGGAGCCCAGTGTGAAGATCTGCCACATGTTCCTTTAACTTGGAGTTGCTTGATATTACTAGTTCTGACTGTGGTCATTAACTCTCTAAGGTTTTTTTTATTTCTTGCAACATATCTGAGAGCTTTGTTCCAGACCAGCAAGCCATGACAGTGAGCCAGGGAAGATGAGACTGATGGAATATAGCCAAGGCTGTGGCACTGTCCTGCAGAAATATTTTAGCCAAGAAAGGAAAGATCTCTGGCTGCTTCAGTTAACATTATCACTAGTGTACTTAAGAGCCCCTAAGGATGTGTTGTTGTTTTCAAAAGGCTGAATATGACTATAGAGCTAGGGAGCCTTAAGAGTTATAGTATATCCTAAGGAGGCATTAACAGAATTGGCCCAATAAGGAGAAAACAAGTCAAAACTGAAACTGTCAGCTGAGAAAAATAATAAAAGCCTCTTCCTTCCTCCAAAAAAATATTATAGCCACAGTTGTTCCCATGTTCCTCAAGTTTAAAATTTCCCCCTGTAATAAAGGTTTTTGCATCAACAGCTCTATCTCAAATTGGTGTAAACTTTCAAAGCCACCAGTGGTAGATATGACATCCGAAAAGCTTTGGCAAAGGGCATTCCAGAGCTTTATGAGCAGGTGTTGCTACTTGTCTCCCAGAACAAGGACTCCAAAACATAGCACACTCCACACAGTCTGTGGTGAGAGACAGGGAGGAACAGAAGGCAATGCTGAAGGGAGAGGGGAAGGAGAGGAAAATGGTGTCTCCATTTACAAAAGGACCAGCAAAGTGGGAGAGGGGTGGTTTGACAGCACCAACACAGGGAGGATAAAGAAAACACACTAAAGCTGCATAAGAGAATATGCAGAAGATAGTGTATGAGTGCAGCCATGAGCTACTGCTTTAATTGTTTTGTCAACATGAAAATGAATACATATTTTACCCACTTAAGTGGCACTATTAAGACTTCACAGAATTCAGGCCTTCCTCAATTAACCCCATCAGGTAGTATGCATTCCAACAGCAGCTTCAAAGGTATGGATTTCCACTCTATTAAACTCTATTAAGCTTGTACAGATCATAAAACTGTAAACCTGACAACCTGATGATAGTTCATTTTATTTTTCTCCTTCCCCTCAGCCGCTATTCCTTTGCTCCTGTGTTTTGCCACTTGACATGACAGGCTTTGTTCTCTTACTTCAAGGCCTGACTTTTTAGAGACATTCTATTGTCCTGAACATCTTGATAAGATTGGGAAGCCCAAAGTTTTTGGCTGGCACTCAGAGTCAGAAAGTGTCTCCTTGCAGTCTGTCCTCTCATGCAGCTTGTGAGGCATCTTTCATTGAGAAACAATTTCTTTTAACCTGAACAGTAATGAGCACAAAAAAAGGGTTGAGGGTTTTCTGGGGGTGGTGTAAAATTCTCCCAGCAGTAAGGCAGAGTGTAAATTAGAAACTGTAGGGATAAATAGTCTTTAGGAAGGTTGACTCTTGTTCCTGTTGCATACCACCAATTTCTCCCACAGAACACTCTAGAAGTGAGACTCGTGACTTCCTTGAGGATAACTTGTCAAAGAGGATATGGATATGGATTCTATCATTTTTCCTCACTATAAGGACAGATGTTTGCTTTGACTGGCAGATCTAAAGAATGAATTATTTTTCTCTCTGCTGAGATAGATATGCTCCCTGGATAAATCTGAGGATGATCAACAGATATCTTCTTCAGAAGACTGACACAAAACTTGAGAAATGATGAACATGTCCCCTGGCAGAAACATCCTCTCTACACAGCAGTGATATAGAACTGGAAAAAAATGATCTATGCTCCTTTCCCATTCCATCATTTTATTCTGTGCTCTACACCTCTATCAAGGCAATCATAGGATGAAGGCTTGAGACAAAGTAAAAATATGGTATATTGCCAAATAGTTTTTAATTGTATTTTTGGCTTCTCCATTGTCCATTATTCCTGAGGAAGAACTTTGTTCTCTGGCAACTGGATGTTGAGCATTAGTTCCATGCTGTACAGGGAAATAAGACTTATTTGCAACATCTTCTTAACTCCACAGATTCAGAGCAGCTCGGAGAACAATGTTTCTTACATTGTAGAAACACCAGAGGAAGACAAAAAATGGGCCAAATCCTGCTGTGCTCTTGTGAGCCAGGAGAGCTTGCCAGAGCTCCACAGCCTGCCCAGGTTCTGCTCCTGAAGAGAAGAAATCAGCTGTGATAGGAACTAACCCAGGGGCTCCTCCATGGTCACCACCCTCCACTGAAGAGGAGATGGCCAAAAAATGACTTAGGAAATGTCATTTCAGCCATTCAAACTCCAGCACCTCCTTCCTAAATAGGACAGAACTTTCCCCTCCCATCACTCCAGGAAGGAAGGAGAGGAAGGAAGGAAAGAATGAAACACAAGAAAAACAAAACCAAGACATAGCCAAGACTCCACCATATCCCCTTAAGGCTGTGAGAGTGGACAAAATTATAAACCCTGAAAATGAGGAAGGAGGAAGAGAGGAAAACCCAGTCAGATAGTGGTCTGATAATTTGCTGATAATTCTCCTACTCTAAAAAATGTGTACCATCTTGTTATTCAGTTCCCATTTCCACTTTTCTCCAGACTTTTAATGACTTGCCAGATGGATCCACTGTGCAAGTGACTATATCAGCAGCTTGAATTCCTTTGAAATGTCATTTGAATATTTTTAAATATTGACTTAATTTCTTGTCTGCATTGTGCTAGCCACACTTCTATCCTAAATGGCCATGGAAAGGCTGCCTAGCATTTAGACACAGAACCCTCTTTAAACTGGATACTGGACACTGTTTAACCACTTCTTGTGTTCCTCTGCTGCTTGAAGCAGGAGCCTTCTTGGGGTTTCAACAGTTTTAAAATGAGCCTGTAATTGTGACAAATGACAGATGGGGCACGGGATGCAGCACTTACACTGTCTGGATATAGCTGTGATCAAGCACTGTTTAGCACCAAAACATTCCAGCTGTTGAAATCCTCCATCCCAAATGTTAAACCCAATGAATGACTCACCAGGGGAGCCCTCAGTTCAATTATTCAGGATATCCCCTCCTCCTCCTCTTGAGCCAGCAGGGATCTCTGCAGGGCCACATCCACCACAGCAGCTCCCAAGAGGAGCTGGAGCATTGTCCTGGCCAGTTCTGGTGCTGCCTGACAGGCATTCCTACCGGGAAAATTTCAGCATCTGAAGTGCCCTCAAGGACCTGCTTATCTTCAGCCCTTTTAACTTGGTGGCCAATGAGAGGGAAATCAGGCACTCAAGAGACACATGAAAAGATGAGGAGGATGCTTTGGACTACTTGGATGAGGAGAGTTATTGAGAGGAATCAGACACACAAGGCTTTTGAAGAAATTTGTTCTCTGACAGGGTGTGTAAACCCTGAATTCATTGTGGCCTAAGAGATTAAATTAGATCACCCAGCTCGAAGATTTGAGGTCATGGTGTTATTGTAGTTTATGTGACTTTCCCTGCATTTCATACCCTTGAAATTTTATGAGGAGAAATCTTGGGTATTGCCTCATACAAAGCTGCATTGTGGAGAAGGGATAGAATCATAGAATTACAGAATCAATCACTGTGGTTGGAAAAGACCTCCAAGATCATGGAGTCCAACCTTTGGCTGAACACCACCATACCGACAAAATTGTAGCACTAAGTGCCATGTCTAGTTATTTCTTGAAAATATCCATGGATGCTGACAGCACCACCTACATGGGCAGCCCATTCCAATGCTTAACCCCACTTTCAGTGAAGAAATTCTTCCTGATGTCCCAGCTGAACCTTCTCTGGTGCAGACTGTGTCCTCTCATCCTGCCACTGGTTGTCTGGCAGAAGAGACCAACCCCCACATTTCTACAACCTCCTTTTGGGGAGGTGTCATAGAGAGGGACCAGTTCACCCCTGAGCATCCTTTATCCATCATGAACACTTCCAGCTCCCTCAGCCACCTCTCATATGACTGACTCTTTAGATCCTTCCCCAGTTTTGTTGCCTTTCCCTGGACTTGCTCCAGCACCTGAATGTCCTTCCTGAACTGAGGGGCCAGAACTGGACACAGGATTCCAGGTGCAGCCTCAGCAGTGCTGAGCACAGGGGAAGAATCACTCCCCTGCTCCTGCTGGCCACACTATCCCTGATACAGGCCAGGAGCCATTGGCCTCTTTGGCCACCTGACCTCATGCTCAGCTGCTGTTGACCAGCACCTCCAAGACCTTTTCTGCTGGGGCCACTTTCCAGCCACTGAAAAAGTGATGCAGCAACTCCACAGCAAGCTGCACACTTGCAATAGCCTCACTGAAGCGCTGCAGTACCACCAAAACTCTGACTTAACAACCTCTCTCTTGTGTTTTATTTGGTCATCATTTCCACTCACTTTGCTCTATTTCAATTAATATTGTAAATAGTTCTGAACATAAAATGTCTTTATTTGCTTCTAACACTCACTGGGTGCCCAGCACTAATGATCATCACAGCCATTAATGACTCAGAGGATTTTGAATTCTGGCTGTACTTAAAAGAACTCAAAACTCAAAAGAACTTCCCAAAGCATGGAAATTGATAGTTGGGACTTTCAAAATTTTAATTAGCATCTACCCCACTGCTAACCCCTAACTTCCCATCTTTGTCCATTCCCCCTTACTTTTTAAGGTGTGTTTATTCTCTCCAATCAGTCACTTTGCTCTGGTTGTGTTGGAAGGCTGCAGCAATACACCAAGGATATATTCCACACAGAAAAACCACTGCACTTGTACCAATTATTTGCGCACCACAGAGCTTCCCTTTTATAATTGACTTCATACATTCATGTCTTCAATGCTAAGTGTGTAGCTTCATCACTGCACTAAGCTTTGTTCTGCTCAGAAAGCAAGTGCAATAATTTCCTGATCTGGGCCTGAGAGGTTTATTTGTGCAGACATAAAAGTCCTAAAGCTAATGACATTTGTGTAACCGGGGGCCCGTGCAGAGGGAGCTGCTGGAGCCCTGCACGGTGGCTGGGGCACGAGCTCCTCTCTGCCTCACTTGCTGTTTGCACAGCTTCCCAAGCCAGCATTTTGATTCCAATTCTCCCTCCTTCATGACTAGAAAGCCTCAGGAATCACCCCACCATCTCCCTCTCTTTCTGTTCTGTACAGAGTCTGGCAGGGAAGGGAATCTTGCTGAGCCCACTACTTCACTGATAGTGAATGTGGAGTATATAGCACCTATTTTTCTTTGTTCTGCATCTGCCCATAAAGAAAATTAAAGTTGGCAGAACTCTACTACAAGATTTAAAGTAAGTGACTGGTAAAATAAACCTGTTTGTAATGGAAATATGAGATTTAAAGTACATCACTGATAGATAAAATAAGACTGTTTGTAATGGAGATAAAAGCTATTTATATTGCTGTGGTACAGGCTAAACATATTTTTTTTCAGTCAACAATAAACTCACCAAGAAATGCATTTTCTCTTGTCCAGAAGCTATCCCTGAATTCAGGTCAAATTTCCTGATGGTTCCATCTGAGGAAAAAAAACAACCTTGAGCCAGGACTCTCAAAAGAGCTGTAGATGGTTTTGTTACCTTTGACCCAACAGTTTCATGCAGACCCACTTAATTAATTTTTACTGAGGTCCACTTCCTCTATGCAGAAAGCATGGAACTAAATAAATGATTGCATTTTGTAAATTTTTATGATTTCTCACATCATTTGATTCAATATTTCAATTTTGATTTCTTCTGCCTGAAACAGCCTTACATTGCATTCATCTGACTTATTACTTCAATTTATACTGGGCTAGATGAATTACAGAGATGCTTTTAATAGCAGTTTTCACACTTCCAGTGTCTAAATTTTGGAACTATTCCAAATAATTAGCCTTACCTTTGAATTTTCTAATCTTACTGTTAGCTGGAAGCTTAAAAAACACAAACCATATAAAATCTGAAAAAGGTTTTTAAAACCAATCTTGTCAGAAGGAACATCATATTCTAGAGGGAGTACCAGGACAAGCTGCAGGGTTATGACTTCTCAGTTTCTCTGAGTAATCTGGGATTCTTCTCACCTGTTCTCCAGTTCCATAACCAGCTGTTGCAAAGATAACAGCTGAAGAAGAGGTTGAAATACTACTTACAAAAAAATCTGCCAACAACATCCACTCACCTGACCAAACTCATATCAAGCTCTGATATTCCCTCTTCAGTGAATTTTTCCAAAGTCTGTTTACTTGAAACATTTCTCCCAGCTTTTATTAAATGCCTGAAAAAGGGAGAGGCTGAGAACTGAGGCAGGGAGATCTCAGGAATGCCTAACTTTGGCTTGGCAGGTTTAAATAATATTAAGTAAGGACATTTCTGGAGAGCCCAAGTGGTCATCTGAGATCTGTGGCTGGGCTGAACAGCAGCCACACAACTAAACCCTTGGAGTCCATTAGCCTGAAGCTGTGAATGAAGAATGCACTCAGCAAAACACTGAGCTCAGTGAAATGGGAGAGAAAAGTCCCTTTTTCCTCTGAAGGGGAACGGGCAGGTTGTAGGAGTTCACCCAGGATATTGTATTGCCTGTGGTTTTGAGATGGGAGCCCCCCCCTTTTTTTTTTTTAAGACCGATGTGCAATAGTTGAAATTGAGCTGGCAGAATCTGCCTGGGGAGCAAACTCACCTTTTATTAAAACAAAAGAAAACTTGCCAGAACTGCTAGGCTCAACACAGCTTGATTAAAGACATTGGGGAATTTACCAATCAAGGAAAAGGCAGAGCATGGAAAAAATAAGTTCTAGATCAGTTAAAAGTAGCTAGAGAAAACCCTGAGGCTCTGCAGCTGGTCATTACTGATGCAAGAGATAGACTGCCTCGTGGAGAAGGGATGTAATGGGGGGAGAGGAACACATTAATCTGCAGAGCTCAGCATCAGGGCTGACTAATCACACGCAGCCCTGGCAGCTGCAGAGAGCAGACCCCCTTCTTAGAGCAGGGTCTCTGCTACAGATCCCTGTCTGCCATGGGAGCACGTGTTACCCTGCCTTAAGCAATGCAGCTCGCTCCCACCCTGCCCTGCCAAAGGAGATTGGTGTGGAAAACAACTCCAAAATGTGCTGGCACTGACTGCAGGTGCTTCTGCGAGCTGCGCTGAGGGAAGCAGCGCCTCATCCTTCGGCAGCAGGTTATCGCCAGCCCTGCTGGAAATCATCATCACTGGAGAGGCTTCAGCTAAAAAACCTTCTAAAGGCCCTGTAGTGCAACAGTGTTAATTGCTGATTGTGATTCCCTGCCTCTTGCATGACAGCAGGAGAGTGAAGGTAAGGGGACGGTGCATAAAGTGAGCTCCCTGAGGCAGGTGAGCCACAGGTGTGTGTATTTACCTAGACAGATAAAGGCATAAAACATATCCAAGTTCTTTTCACACTCATCAGTAGCACCAGGATAAGGAATCCAAGGTTTCACCACACAGAATCCATTTCTGCCTTGTTGAGGAACTGCCTGACTCACATTCAGGTATGAAGAAACTGGTTAATAACAGGACTTTAGGGCACACCAGGTCAGACCAGAGTTTCACCAGGTCCTGTGCATGCTGTATGAGAGAGAAAGAACTGAGGTTCACCAGGGTCTCATATAACTCAGTCACTGTCCACTCTCATGAAGGAACATGCACCAAGCTCAGTGTCACCTGCCTCCTACTCACAGCCAAGAAATCCTATGCCTGTGTTGGACAGCAATTAATTTATATTTTCCAGTGTATAACAATACAAAAGAATGACAACAAATCTTTCATGCCCTGTTGCACTTCAGAGCTTTGTACCAAAGCTTCTCCCCCTCCACCTGTCCTCCTGTCTGCCATGGGAAGTGACAGAAAACATCAGATTCCAATGCCCATTATTAAATGTAGTAATCTGATCAGAATGAAATGCCAAATGAGTCACCTCCTGCAGCAACCTCTGTGCCACCTGTCCTTTGCTCTGCCTCTTAGCTTTCATAGTTTGCTGCTCAATACAGTGTCCAAGATAATCTAAAATAGTCCTGATGAAAAAGGAGTTAATGGATAAAAACACCATGAGAGCTTTCAGGTGGAAGACTGCACTATAAGCAGATATAAGTGATGACATTTGTGGGGAACCTGCCCTATACTCTCCCTTTTCAATGGAAAAAGTGACATTGATAGAATAATTCTGAATTTTTCACCTCTCTTCTAAATGGCACATCACTGAGACAGTGACAATGTTCTCACCATTAAACCTGACAGAGAAATGTGTGTTCCCTGATTCCAAAAGGCTGCAATAATGTAAAAAGTGGTATGACTGAACCAGATGACCAGATAGAGACCTGGACACAGAACAATGTGGCACCAATGGTTTTTAATACACTTGCTGAATTTGGTACCAGTTCTTGTTCCTGAAAATCAAAGAACAAATGAATTTAAAGAAATTATCTGCTGCTTTTTTTCTTTTTCTTTTTTTTTTTTTCTTTTGCTTCTTAAAATAAGGTAAAATACTCATGAACTCTGAGCTTGTGTTCTGACTGGGAAACAGAAGGAAAACTTCAGTGAAGAGCTATCTATAATTCCTTCTCATTCTCATTCCATCAGCAAGCCAAAACAAAGAGCCCTAAACTGCCTAAACTCAAAAATAGGCTCCACCCCACCACCCCAAATACCTTTTTTCTCTAAATTCAGTGTAACTCCCTGCTCAGGCTTCCTAAAGCCTGACACGTCAGTAAGACACTACCATGACTCCCAGGCCATCTGGAGAAGCAGGAGAGGTTCTTCTTCTAAAGCAAGATATATCCAAAATAAAACAACCAAAACCTGCTCCTCCCCTCTTGAACACTGAGGCTTTTCTGCTTAACACACCTGTTCATGACTCAGCCTCCAGTCCTCAAGTCACACAGCCAACACCTTCCATGCCAGTCAGATTTTATCAGCAATGACTTTGCTGATAACCAGGCTAAGAAAAGAGGCAAAACAAGAAGAGGACTAAGCAGTGGGAAAGGCTGTTGAAAGAAAAGATGGATCCAGTGGTAAAATGGGCTGTGTTAAGGGAAGATGAGCTGTTCACACTTCATACAGCAGTTTACCTTCTCCGTATTCTTTGTCCTTTTCCTGTATCTGGCTGGCTTCCTCAGGCTTGAAACATCTGATAGCAGGAAGGCAAAACTGTCCTAAATGTCTCCAGAAATCTGCTTTCCTATTAGTAATTCCCTAGAGAAAATGTAAAGAAATTCAAACACCAGATTTCTCATCCTGAGTAAGCCTGGTTATGCATATTTAATAAAAGGAAACATACATTAAGATAAAAATGGGTGTCCATGGAAACTGCATATCTATCTTAAAAAAAAACAACAAACAAACAACAAACCAAACAGCACCCCATATTAAATTTTACATATGATTTTCTTTTACATACAGTCTCCCCCTACCACTTTTGGTGTTATGTATTGGCTGCCAGAGACCCACACTGCCTGCCTGTTACTTTGGCATCTCCAGGATGATCTCAGCACTGTGCAGCTCTGAGATCTGCCAGGTACCAGGCACAGCTCAGGCTGCACACAGGCTTTTCTGCACCAGGAAAACATGGGCTGCAGCAAAACACTGAGCAGGATGCCCTGCCCCTGGGATTAAGAGCTCTCCAGTGACTTCTTTTTTAGGGGGTTAGAGAAAAATACCCAAAATTAAACAAAATGGCATGGGGAAGTCAGAAGCAGCCTGTGCTCAGCAAAGTGAGAAGGAGCAGTTTGCTCTGAGCTCTTACTGGTCCCTGTCCTCACACTCTGCAGGTACAGGGGATAAACAAGGAACATGGATATATGTCATGGGGACGTGGAGATCATTCACTGGTTATTTAAAGCAATACCCTGAACCCATGGTGCTGTAGCAGCTCAAAGCTACACCCAGCAGCTGTCCTGGTGCTTTATATGGGGTATCTGCAGCTCTGAAGGCTGGGGTTCATGCTCGGGACAGAGCACCAAGCACTTGCGTGTGGGGGATCAACAAACACTGAATCATCTTGTGGTTCTCTCAGCTCCAGCTCCCAGAGCAGTGCTGAGCACCAAGCAGTGCTCAATGAGCCTCTTTGTTCCCAGCACCAGCTGCTGGGCAATGTGACGAGAGCTGCAGCAAGCAGAGGTTTGCAAGAGATGCGTGCGTGGAGACAGCAAAAGAACAGTTCTACAATTAGCACTGGGGGTACAATCAAACTTCTATCAAAATGAAAACAAAAGTTGGCTTCTTCAGCCTTTTACCTTTAACAAACAGGCAAATATGCCAAGTCTATCAGCTGGCACTAGTGCAGCTCTGGGAAAACAGTGAGCTGTACACACTGGGTGTGTACAGATGAGTGATACTCAAAGGCACCACCTAATTTGTGGTGACAGCAAAGGTCACCATGGAATATTTGACCTCTTCCAATCTGTTTCCATATAGATCCTACTGTATAAATTGCACTCAGCATCTTTGAGGCTCAACACCTTACCACAGAAATGCAGTATCCTGAGCTATCACCTTATTACCATTGTTTCCAATAGAGTCGGGGTTTTCTCCTCTTCAGTAACTAGGAAATTAAATCCAGTCCCTACTGCATTTTTAATGGCAGTAAAAATTTCCACAGTGGGATCAGACATTTAAACAAAGAGCAGCAGTTTCTCACCTCGCTCCACAGAGCACTGGCAAACCCAACCTCTACCCTCCTCCTCTTCAAGTCTCTGCACACGTTCTTTCTGCAGCTGCTGCCTTTCATTTAACTAGCTCTTAAGGAAAGACATCCCAATTTCCCAATTACTAGACATACACAACCACACACAGCTAAACAGTGCAAATAGATTCCCTTCCTCATCCAGTGCACTTACTTCAGGCTTCACTGTGCACTTATGAGCACATTTGCTTTCTTCCCCCCTTCTCTTCTGTGTTCATCTTGAACAAGAGAGAAGTTTGATCCTGCTCCCATTATCGTGCCAAGCAGCCACAAATTCATTCCATGGCTCAATTCTCCTTACATTCCTGAAACCAGGCACCTGCAAAGTCTGCACGTTGAAGTTCCACTGCTGCAGGTGGTGCCATTCAGGGGCAGACCTGCAAGCTCAAGCAGCAAGCAGAGGCTACCTGGCATTGTCCACATCATCCTGCTGTAGCTCAGGTCTCTGACTTCCCACACTCTTTCTCAACACTACTCTTCAGCTTTTCTGGAAGGTGCTCTTCCCTGTTAGAGAAGGCTGAGATAAGTACATGGGGAATCTGCATGTTCCACACTCCAAGGATTCCATGT